TTATGTGGAAATTTCTAGCAGCCAAATATTCTAAACGCATGTTGATTCTAAATGTTGGAGGGAAAACCCGGAGGACCCAGAAAAAAACATCTGCGCAACCACAGGGAGAGCATGCAAACTCCAAATATACAGCAGGCCTCAGGGTTGGGATCAAAGCCACGGCTTCCTGTATAACAGGTGAGGTATTAAACATCTCGCTACTTTGGCACCCCCAACAACTGGCACTGCAAGTGCCCGTTGTCGGCGTTCACAACTGTCAATAGTGGAGGCCTCTGCGTTGACACGCTCTCGTGCATGCGTCCGTCCAGACTATGTTTGGTGAAACATGACCAGGCGGGGCACTGACTCGACCTCCACCACATTGCATCTGCACTTCCAATGAATGATATTTAGCGACTGCCAAGATGTTTGACCGTTAATGGTGGGGGACATTTAAAGTCGCGTTTATTGCGCACGTAAGCATTTTCTCGTTGACCTGCCGAACTTGTGACCTTCCAAAGCCCCCGACTGAGCACGACAACCAGAACCGCCTCCCCTCTGGTTTTCGCCTAAATTGCGTCCGTGAATAACGGCCAGTCATAATTTATGAAGCGAACAAATCCCGGCTGCCCCGCCATTGGCGCTGTACGCTCTTGCTTGTCGCCTCGTGCCTCTTTTCACTGCAAGTTCTGGAATTCTCCTTGCGCTCGGCCGCTTCGCCAATGAGGCAGTAAGTCGGATGTCTGCGACGGGTCGCATCAGCTTGAGCGTGCGTGGCTGAATCCATGCAAATCGCCCTGCCGCAAATCGCCCTGCCAAAAAATCCCACCTTTTAGGCGTATCTAATTGTTGTTTTTCTGTCGTTAATTGTGAGGGAGCGTTGGGCCAAGATCAGTCGTCCGCGGAACTGTGCTATGAACCCGGGCTTCAATCGAGTTCGATTGTCAGTCGTGGGTAACGTAGCAACGAGCGATACCTGAACCAGTCCTAACACCCAGCCGCCACTCCCCACACCACCCCCCCCCCCCACCCCCCCCCCCCCCAATTGGACGTCTGTGAAAAAGAGCTTCAAAGCTAATCGGATTCTTCCAGTCGAAATAAATGTTCTGAATTCACCAAACTGTCCAGCTTGGCGAAGTATGGTTCACAGCCCCATCCAGGAAAGCCTTCATCCAGCAGTGAATTGAAACGGGGTTCTTCCTTTTTTTTTTATAAAATGTAAAAACATTAGGAGGTAGAACGCACAACCCCTCTCCCCCCTGGCAATTTTTACATTTGATTCTAGAAATGTATTTTTATTAGCATTGCAGCAAATGTCGTGTCTCTAGTGGCTGTGTGCGTGACAGGAACCCAATAAATACCACCTATGAATAGAAAAGCATCGACTCTTGCGCACCTGATTCAACACACGTATCGTGGGCTTTGTAACTGATAAATAATCGATTCATTAATTGTTCCATCCCATTTAACCCATATATTCGCCACCTACAATTAACGCCAGTTGTACAATGGCCACCTGTAAAGGCAAAGACGAAGGTCCCCCGTATAGGCTTGAACAGGCCGTCACGGCACGTACCGTTCGCAAGCACCTATGAAGGCTGCCACCACGCACGGGGGTTTGGGTGGCCAGCACCACGCCCGGGGGGGGTTGCTGCCTTTGTCTCCGCAGGCCTCGTGTTTACACACCGCACCAGGGTGCTCGTTTAAGGCCAAGTCAAACTAGAAGAGGACACAGGGCAACTTTCAATATTCGCCACTGTTATTGGTCATGAGCAAGAATGGAACTTCGGCCGCCGGGTTCATCGTGCAGTGCGCTAGCCACGACACTACTGCTGCACACGACACAAGGGGAAATGTTAACTGCCTCGCCCGGTATGCAGAAGGACGTGGGTTCCATCCCCGACCTTGACGCATGTATATTTTGAGGTTGCATGTTCTCCCCGCGGTCGTGTGGATTTTTCTCTGGGTCCTCCGGTTTTTTCCCCTCCACATTTAGAATCAACATCACGCGTTTAGAGTATTTGGCGGCTATAAATGTCCGCGTGATAAGCCGCTTCGTTGAGCTATCATTTGTGATAACCAGGTCGCTTCTGAAAAAAAGAGCTACATAGCTCAGTGGGCCTTCCCTCGTAAAATATAAAAAAATGTAAATAGTTATGCACACATGCAGTTTAGTTATTGACATTGCTCTTTTGAGAGGCTCTGGAGGATGTGGATTTGCAACACCTGCTAGTTTTCCTTTTTTGCTAAAGAATTGCGTTATGAAATTGCTAAATTATATCTCTTCAGCCTTATCCAGCAGCAGTAATTTATGTTTTATTTCAACTTCAATGTCTGTTTAACTTCTTTTGCACCGTACGTAGCCAGAACAAGAGTCAGAAGTTTATTGCCCGAACAGCTCCTTTGCGAATGTGGCTCGGCCAGCAGGCAGGCACGGCAGCAAGCGTTAATAAACACGATCCAAAATAAAATAAAAACATATATCGAAATAAAGTTATTAAAACCAAATAGATCTTACAAAACAATTGCGTACAATTCGTATTGATTCGACCTCAACGGTCTCTTCTGCTTTCTCCCCCGTTCATCCGTCCTAATCGGGGGGGGGGGGGGGGGTACAAAACAATTTAACGCACAATAAAAGCGGTTCTAAAGAAATGTTGCTCCGCTTCGACATAAAAATGAGATGTCCTTCCCTCCAGCGCAGTTTGCTTCTCGCTCCTTGGCACGCACCCTCCTTGGCCATACAGGAATGAAAGGCGAGGAAAGTTGGTTGCTGTTCCAAGAGTGTAAAAAAAAGTTCAATAGCCTAGCCTGAGATCTCATTGCCCTACTTGATTAAATTGCCTCTACGTTGCAGTAATTAAATCGTGCGAACGAGTTTATGAATTTCAAACCACTTGCTATGCTTAACGCATTTGTGGGCTGTCATAGAAATGTGAAATATGAAGGGTTTTTTTTGTATAAATACCCAGAATAGTTGCCAGCCTTAAAATATATATTAGTCAGTAATCTATAATGTAGACTGTGTAGCAATGGTTATTAAGCTGGGTGAGTGTACTGGCAGTCGATAATGTAGACCGTAGCCTGGTTCTTAACCTCGCTGAGTGTATTGGCAGTCTATAATGTAGACTGTTGCCTGGTTATTAATTTTGGTGAGTGTACTGGCAGTCTATAATGTAAACTATAGTCTACATTATAGACTGCCAGTACATTCCGATTTAGAACCAGGCTACAGGTCCACATTAGAGTTTTTTAATTCTTATTTTTATTATATTTTTATTATTTTTATTCACTTTATTATTATTTTTCTATCATCGTGACTTTACCGCGGTCACGAAAGTTTAAAGTCAAAATTATTCAGCAAATTAGTTATTCTAAGATTACATGATTCCTCCTTGTTATTTCACCCATTGCTCATAAAATATATACGGAATGCGTTGTAGGTCTGTAAATTTTTGCTTTCTAGGTATCTATTTTAGTTCAATTCAACATTCGGAAAAATGCTGCCACAGTGGGTGTGCAACTCCTAGGGGCATTGGACTTGCAACCCAGAGGTTGCCCGGTTCCACTCAATCTCCCGGCACAGGCGTTAAAAACAAAGCTGCTAGTTTATTAAATCCCAACCCTCGCCACCACCACCCGGACCCTGCCTCTCCCACCTCTGTCCACCCAGCGGCATAAATGAGAACACCACAGTTTGTCAATCAGCATGTGTGGATGCATGTTGAACTTCTTTTCTCGCCGTACGTAGGCAACTGTGCTCATCGGAGGTGCGGCGGAGGAAGGGCAAAACAAACTAAACACGAAAGAGCAGTTCTTAAGAGATGACATGCACATATGGAGATTGCTTGTGGTGGAGGCGAACTGTGGGTACTTCCACCTACGTCTTGCAAGTGGAAAAGTGAAAAAAAAACGTAGCCTCCAGAGCAGCGTGTGGCCAACTGGCTTCTTCCCAGCTGCACGCGGCTTTAATCCACCCACACGCGGCTCTATCGAAGGGGCATAAGGGGCCGTCCATAAATGACGTCACGCACCTGGGGGGGGGGGGGGGGGGTGGTCAGACATTTGTGACGGTGTGACTTTTTAATTAATCTTCTCCTACAACATCAGAGTGCAGCGGCACATTAAATATGTACTACAATGACAATAGTTTAAAGCGATTTGAAGCATGTGTTCTTTTTTGGTGGGGAGGGGGGGGGGCAGAGCTTTTTGACGTCATATTTGAGGGGGGGTCTGACTTTTTGTGACGCCGTGTGACGATGGGGGGGGGGGGGTCAAAAATCGTCCAAAATCGCGTGACGTCATTTATGGACGGCCCCTAACACAGAACGCACTATCACAGTAGCAAACAAGAATGGATGAAAGCTGTACGATAAGTTGTATGATATACGCTAAAATATATACACTTGGCTCTTTGCAGAAGTCATGGGTGCTTCGTGGCTATTGGTCTTGATGAAAGTTGGCCACCCCTGCTCTTGAGGAAGCACCTCAAGGTGTCGTTCACGTAGAGGCCCCTTCCCGCCAGCAAATGGCATGGCCATGCAATTGAAGCGCTGCTGCATCTTTGCCTTTTCACCTCTTTGGTGCGGCCTGGTGAAGGGTGGTTGGGGCGGGGGTGGAGTCCAGGACTGATTCAGACTTAACTATTAAGCACATGTCTCTGAGTTAATAGTGCCGTGTGTCACTACCCACTGCGCCATTGTTCCACGAGAAATTCGCTGTGTTTTTTTTTTAATGAACGTTCAGGGGAAAAAAAATATATAAATTACTTCTTTTACGATTATTTTTGTTACTCCGCTAAAGAAATCACGTTGAATGTGTGACGATTGTTTCCATTCGCACCAGTGTTTCATAACTGCAGTGTTTGATGAGAAGTAAAGAAATGCCTATAAACGCGCGAACACTCACACGCACAGAGCATACCTGGGCTGTGTTGTTGGCTTGGCAACTGCGGCGCACAAATTTTGTGCTTATTTTAAAGCGTTCGCTAATGATATTTTATGTTCCCGGCCTCATTTCAGGATGAGACGGAGAGAGACCCAGCTGGAGTTGGCCAAACGGGACATCCAGTGGTTTGACACGGAGTCCAAACGCTTCATTGACTGGATGGAAAAGATGGAGCAAGCTGACGCAACTTTGGATCAGGAATCTTCCCAATCAACACTCGGCTCTCTTGGCAAGTCCTGGCAGGTGGGTACAGGTTGGGCGCGCGCGCGCGTGTGTATGTGAGCGTTTTTTTTCTACCTTTTATGTCATCGTTATTTCCTATGGTCACATTTACATATTGTGATGACAAGTGGAACGTTCTGAGCATTAGCTGCGAGATCATCAAAGGCTCGATCTTGGGCAATGTGCATGCAATCGGCAAATAAGACACGCTTTAATCTCGTCAGAGTGGGTCATGTGAGAAGCGACGGAGGAATACATTGGTGGGATAAAATTTCCCCCAACTCGATGAAAATCTTGCGAGGTGCGATGTGAAAATGTGTTCCAGTGGCACGGCACTTTTGTGACGCTTTGAACCATCCTGGTGTAGCTGCGTGCGTGTGTGTGTGTGCACGTGGGCGCATTCATTTGTGGCGCGTGTACGGAATTTGAATGGATTTCTTGGTTTTTGACAGCTGCGCATTTATCACTAATGTGGAAATAGATACATGCGCGTGTGTTGTGTGGGGTGCGTTAGTGTAGTGGTTAGCGCTATGAACCCGAGGAACCGAGTTAGATTCCTGCACACAGCCAACACTAGTGAAGATTAGCTGAACCTTTCCTGCGTCTCCCCTCGGTCAACTCGGCCTCAAATGAGTACCTGGTGTGATGTGTAAAACATTGTCACGAGGGAGACAAAGGTGGCCGGGAAAGGTGTTGGCCATCCACCCCCTCGTGTGCCATGCCATCCTTCATAGGTGCTCGCTAACAGCACTTGCCCCAAAAGTCTGAAGTCTTTACGGGGGATCCTTGTCTCTTTTGATTCTAAATGTTATCCAAATATTTAAATTGTGACAAATGGATTGGTGGGAAAGACAAGGCAGTAAACACAATTTCACATCAGAAGCCAGGGCTCCCAGCTCTGGTGTTGTACGCTGCCGATTTAATTAATTCTGTGCCAAGTCAGATTCAATAGGGTACTCAATCCACTGACATATTAAAAGATTACTTTTGGCCGCATAATTGCAGTTTGGTGGCTTTGGAGCCATTGAGGAATTGATTTGCAGCGGTTGCACCCGTGATGCTTGCAAATCCTTCCCAAGCAATTTTTTACAAACTCAAACTTTCTCCCAAATCTACAACCTTTAAAAATAATAATAATAATAATAAACATTGAATAATCACGTGACTTTCAGTGATTCAAAGATAAAAACTAAATCCTCGTGTGGTATACATAAATACCATCATCAGAATCCGAATCTTTATTTAGGCTGGAGGAATCCAATGAGCTATGAAGCTTTTTTTACAGATGTCCAGTCGATGTCCAATGAGATCATCATTTACACTGCACTTCCCATGCAGTACATTTCAAGCAGAAGCGGTCATCAACAGTGATTGCAGACCAAATACAATGTTCAAAAAGAATGTTGTTTTAAAAATATCCGCAACGAATGAAAATAAACAACCATTGACAAGTTAAAACGGTGTTTAAGACTTCCATATTGTCCACTTAATTTTTGAGGTTTGCATATGCTATCTGAATGTCTTTTTTATTTTAATGTAAATTAGTTAATTGTGGGTGGCTTGATAATATTCCCAGGCAAGCTTGTCAACAATTTGGACGCCAAGTTTCCCTGTTATTTAATTTCGTATGCTTACCTTTTTGGGATCTGTAGCCCCCCCCCCCGACACGATGAACACACAGCCCGGTCTAGAGTCCAGAGGATTCTATCGGGTTATTTTTTTTTATGCTCGGAACCGTTTTGGCACAAAGGGGATGGGGGGGGGTGGGAAACCACGAGCTCATGTGCACGGTCTCATCTTGATATTGTACTGACTTGCGTGCGCACGTTGTGGGCGACTTGGAGGATGAACAAGTGACCGGGGGCGGGGGAGGGGTGGTAGGAGGGGAACAAGACGATTGTGCTTTGCAATTGACCTTGGGTTTTTTTCCGCGGGCCGACCCATCGTTTTTCTGAGACGTTCGGTCCGGGCGGTGGACGTTGCTACGGCCGCTGGGCTGTTGCTGTTGGTTTGCAGTTTGGCGAGTTCCAGATGGGGTGGTGTTTTTTTTTATTTAACCTAATTTTGGCGGATAAATTTAGGAGTGTGCTCATGTCGCCTTCTGTATTTGTTTTTTTTTATCTGCACTCTGTCCCTAACCTGCAAAAACCCTTGCTTCCATACCAATTTTCCACTCAATTCAAAGGGAAGGACAACATGCTACGTTGTGGGTGGCTGTGCAATCTTGCGTATGTAGACATTTACTGAGGCCGGCGCTTGTGGGCTGCTGTTTTTCAAATGGGGCACATTTTGACATCGCGTGAATTAAAGAATGTGAGCACACGATGTTAACATTTCCCTTTTCATTTCAAGCGTGCCCTGGCTTAAGCAGATATCATCCCACGTTTAATGCGATTCATTGTAAAATGTCTCAAGCTTAAAATGATTTGGCTTTTTCATCACACAATGGGAATATTTTTTTGTATTTTAAATAGTTGCTGTCAGCATTCGCTCCCAATGTATTCACTACTGCCAACTGATAGCAACAGTAATGTATTGCACAAAGGCAGCTTTAGTTTTACTGATGGACGAGCTTTAATGCGCTGCTCCTATTTTATGGTTCTTTCAGTAAAGTCACGTAGATAGAAAAAATAACAATAAAAGAATTATTTAAAAAACTTATTTTATTGTTATTAAAAAAATCTTGTTTTATTGTTATCTTTTCTATTTACAGTGAGGGGAAAAAAGTATTTGATCCCCTGCTGATTTTGTACGTTTGCCCACTGACAAAGAAATTATCAGTCTACAATTTTAATGGTAGGTTTATTTGAACAGTGAGAGACAGAATAACAACAAGAAAATCCAGAAAAACGCATATTAAAAATATTAGAAATTGATTTGCATTTTAATGAGGGAAATAAGTATTTGACCACCTCTCAATCAGAAAGATTTCTGGCTCCCGGGTGTCTTTTATACAGGTAACGAGCTGAGATTAGGAGCACACTCTTAAAGGAAGTGCTCCTAATCTCAGCTTGTTACCTGTATAAAAGACACCTGTCCACAGAAGCAATCAATCAGATTCCAAACTCTCCACCATGGCCAAGACCAAAGAGCTCTCCAAGGATGTCAGGGACAAAATTGTAGACCTACACAAGGCTGGAATGGGCTACAAGACCATTGCCAAGCAGCTTGGTGAGACTGTGACAACAGTTGGTGCGATTATTCGCAAATGGAAGAAACACGAAATAACTTTTCTAGATTTGAAGCTTTCTTGACTGCAAGGATCCATACTCTTTGGTTCTATTCGGTAAAGTCACGTGGGTAAAAAATAAAACAACAAAAATCACGACGTTTCGGCCACAACACAAGTGGCCTTCATCAGGTGAAGGGACCAGACTGTCTCGAGGACAGCGCTGGAGTGAAAGAGCCACGTTCAGATCACGGCCTTTTAAGCTGTGTGAGAGGAACAAAGCGCCCTCAACTTCAGCACCACGGATAGCTACGGGCTCCGTTCAGACGGACGAATTCGTCCATGGTCGGAACAGAGGAGGGGGAGAGAGACAGCTGCGAGGCCCTAGTATACTCCATGTTGTAAAACCATACCATTAACCGTGGTGTGAGAGGTATAAAGAGGCAATGCTGGCGAAAGAGCTGCGGTCTGAAGGTCATCGTAAAAATACAATTAATTAAGAACAGAAATGATTTAAAACATCTTTCCAGTGGTTACTAAGCCAGAATCCATCTTCTCGGTTGAAATTGTCTCTGTGCTTGTATATGTGAATGGCCTCATGAACGAATCTCTCATGGTAGCCGGTTGGTTTGCAAAGAACCTCCGTCTTGGATAAGTCAATGTCATGTGAGCCCACTGAATTATAACAGTGCTGCAAGACCCCCTAATTCCTCTCACACAAGCTTAAAGGTCGCGGTCTGAGCTTGGCTGTGTTCACTCCAGCGCTGTCCTCGAGACAGTCTGGTCCCTTCACCTGATGAAGGCCACTTGTGTTGTGGCCGAAACGTCGTGATTTTTGTTGTTTTATTTTTTACCTACGTGACTTTACCGAATAGAACCAAAGAGTACACAAAATAACTGTCAATCTCCCTCGGCCTGAGGCTCCATGCAAGATCTCACCTCGTGGAGTTGCAATGATCATGAGAACGTTGATGAATCAGCCCAGAACTACACGGGAGGATCTTGTCAATGATCTCAAGGCAGCTGGGACCATAGTCACCAAGAAAACAATTGGTAACACACTACACCGTGAAGGACTAAAATCCAGCAGCGCCCGCAAGGTCCCCCTGCTCAAGAAAGCACATATACATGCCCGTCTGAAGTTTGCCAATGAACATCTGAATGATTCAGAGGACAACTGGGTGAAAGTGTTGTGGTCAGATGAGACCAAAATGGAGCTCTTTTGCATCAACTCAACTCGCCGTGTTTGGAGGAGAAGGAATGCTGCCTATGACCCCAAGAACACCATCCCCACCGTCAAACATGGAGGTGGAAACATTACGCTTTGGGGGTGTTTTTCTGCTAAGGGGACAGGACAACTTCAACGCATCAAAGGGACGATGGATGGGGCCATGTACCGTCAAATGTTGGGTGAGAACCTCCTTCCCTCAGCCAGGGCATTGAAAATGGGTCGTGGATGGGTATTCCAGCATGACAATGACCCAAAACACACAGCCAAGGGAACAAAGGAGTGGCTCAAGAAGAAGCACATTAAGGTCCTGGAGTGGCCTAGCCAGTCTCCAGACCTTAATCCCATAGATAATCTGTGGAGGGAGCTGAAGGTTCGAGTTGCCAAACGTCAGCCTCGAAACCATAATGACTTGGAGAAGATCTGCAATGAGTAGTGGGACAAAATCCCTCCTGAGATGTGTGCAAACCTGGTGGCCAACTACAAGAAACGTCTGACCTCTGTAATTGCCAACAAGGGTTTTGCCACCAAGTAAGTACTAAGTCATGTTTTGCAGAGGGGTCAAATACTTATTTCCCTCATTAAAATGCAAATCAATTCATAACATTTTTGACATGCGTTTTT